CTTTCCCTTTTTTGAAAAAAGAATCCACCAAATTTTATATAGCACTTTGTTCTCTCTGAAGGTCTAAAATTTTATCCACGATTTTTTCTTCCTCTCACGAAGAACTGAGCTTTCACTGAATATATATAAAAAACCTCTCGTTTCCCATACTCTATCAACAACAAAGCAAAAATGGACACAACTACACCGTTTACCGGTCCGTATAGTTAGGGTCTTGCAATTTCAGATTCAGATACTCTTTAAGGCCGCTTAAATGGATCTTACCCAATCCGGTTCAGTCCACTGTACGCTTGCTGCACCTAGTTCTTTCTTTTTTATTTAATCTTGTGCTTTTCCGGGCACAGTTTTATTTCTACTGTTTTTTATCAGGCTTTCAGTATAGATTTGAACTGGTAAGGTACATATAAGAACTGGGGGAGTAAAAAGATTGGATTTTTGTGATTGGGGTATTGTGATTTTGTTGTAATGGTGTCTACAAATGATCCAATAGAGTCTTTTATGAATTCAGTTCAAGTGGTCAGAGATGCTCTTTCACCACTTGAACTCGGGATTCGGAAAGCTGCTAAAGATCTTGAAACTTGTTGGGGGGTTTCAAAGAATGATCATAAGGCAACCCGTGATTCAGATACTGATAATAGCAGTGAAGTGTCAATCTTCACTGTGAAAAAGAAGAGTGTTAGTCTTGGAAATAGTGAAAATAGGCATTGCGGGGTTAGTGAAGAGAAAAGGAAAGGATTTTTATCCTTCAAGGTTCCTGTTAGGAGTCTATTGAGGATGTTTTCGATGAATTTGGAAAGTGGACCCAGAAATGGCAGTGATGATAAGGTTGGGGTTTCGAAGAAATTGTTGAAAGAGAAGGAGACGGGGAATGAAGATGAGTCTTGTGTAAATTGTTTGCGGTTTGCCTTGACGTGGTCTTTGTTGGTTAATGGTTTTGTTCAGGCATTTCCTAGCCCATTTAAAACAAACAAGAAACGGTTTCAGAAAGCTGGTGACGAGGATAAGGAGTATTTGCATTTGTGCAAAAATGGCTCAAAAGCAAAGGTTTCGGGCGAACTGAAGCAAAGGGAATTGAAGGTTCAATCTGTTAAAGGGTATCAGAATGTGAACGAGAAGGGTAAAACAGAGAAACACGTGTCCATCGAATGCTTTATAGGGTTTCTATTTGACCTCTTGATTCAGAATCTACAGAAGTTTGATCAGAGTTTACAGGAAAGAAATGTCAAGGGTTGTAAAAATAATTGTTCGAACTCAACGCCAGCGCCCTCCCAGTTTGATCATTTGACGGCAATCATGAGTATTTGGGAAGGTCAAAAGGTGCATGTAGATGGATTTTTGGGAAATTTGAGTTTTGCGAGAGTTGGTGGGGTACCATCAAGCATAGTTGGAGTATCCTCTTCAGTTAATGAAGAGGGCGACGATGGTGTAAGCAGCGCGCCTACCAACAGCACTGAGGACACTGGGGGTAGTTCGCCACAGAAACTAGCTAGTGGGATACTAAGCATTCCGCTATCGAATGTAGAGCGTTTGAGATCCACATTATCCACGGTTTCTTTCACAGAGTTGATTGAGCTTGTGCAGCAGCTTGGTCGATCTTCTAAAGAATATCCTGACAAGAAAAAGCTGTTCTCTGTCCAGGATTTCTTTAGATACACAGAGGCCGAAGGTATGGTTTCTCGTCTCCTTAGGAAATTTACCTGTACTGGTTGCTGTTCCTGCTTGTGTCTATGGAAAATTGGAAATATACGTACATGAAATATTGCTGAGCGTACTACTTGTTATTGTTCTGGTACTCTCATAGACGAGTAACACTTGTTTGTCAAAGTTTACTCAATATCAGTTGAATGGAGCTGATATATCCATCTATTGCAGAACGTGCTTCGCTGGAAAAGGAGATCTTATTTGACTAAGGGGTGTAATAGAGGGTGGTAATAGTTGTGTTTAAAAGTGTTGAAAATACATGAAAATAATATTTTTTTATATTTTAAAAATTATTTTTAACATTATCCGTTAAAACAATCTGAAAATATATATAAAAAATTAATTTTAAACAAAAAAAATTAATTTTTTTTAAAATATTGTTCCAACCGCTTTTCTGAACACTATCTAAAATTTTTTTTGTAGATGCAACTGTTAATTTTTTACTCTCCAGACTAGAAAGTAAAGGCAAAAAAAAAAGAAAGAAAAGAAGAGAAGAGAGAATTGCTCATCTTCAAATGAATTTCTGATTATACTGTCAATCCTTTCTGTATCTCTCATCCTAAATATTGCTCTTATTTGCACCCTTACATTCTTATAGGAAGAAGATTCTTTGAGGAACTGGACAGAGATGGTGATGGTCAAGTGACTCTGGAGGATCTCGAAATTGCGTTGAGAAAGAGAAAATTACCCCGTAAATATGCTCGGGAATTCATGCATCGTACTAGAAGTCACCTATTCTCAAAATCATTTGGTTGGAAACAGTTTTTGTCCTTGATGGAACAGAAGGAACCGACAATTCTCCGTGCTTACACTTCTCTTTGTTTGAGCAAGTCTGGGACCCTGCAAAAGAGTGAAATATTGGCATCATTAAAAAATG